CGAGCCTTTCATCCCTTCTAAAAAAAATTTTGGTTGACAAATATTAGATATCGTCTCCAATATTTTATTTGAAAGAGATTAGTGTTGATACAAATTTAAAAATCATTGAGTGTTATCGAGGTGAATGAATAGGTAGTAAGAGTGTAATAATTATATTTAATAATTTTTCGGAATCGTGTATGATGTTCCATAAGTATACAATTAGTTCTATTTCGTTGGTAAAGTATATTAATCCACTATGTTGATCGATAAGCCAAGTGTCAAAACCGATAGGATGAGCATCGGTGTTATTTACATAGAGCATTGGAAAAGTTCTAAGAATTAGTAATATTTCTTTATGAAGAACTGTATTATAGTTATTTGTTTACAGAAAACGTTCGAATACGTTATAGCAATGTTCAATAGCATGATCAATTCACGTTTGAATAATCTTTTTATATTCGTCGATATATATCAAAGTAATTGTTCGATCATTGCTAGCTTAAATTTATTGCATGTAGATAGATAACGAGTGCAGCAAAATAAATAGCTCCCTCGAGAAATGATGGGTATTTCCGAAAAATAGTTTTTGTAGAGTGTTTTCGAATATCGGTTTATTTGCCATGTCTTAGTGAATTTTGTTGAAATAGTATTTTAATTTCGATAATAACTAATTCAACTGAAATAGGGAACCCTAGGCATCTTTAGAGTATCGGTAAACTTCGATTGTTTCTAAAATAAAACAAACAATCAACGAAAGCTAGTAAGAAATGGCAAAGAATATGATAGTAGGAAACACTATATACTAACTAATTCTGGAAAATACTAATAATTTTTTCAACTGAAATCAATTCGATTTAAAATATAAGGAACGATATTTAGTCAAGATAAAATAAGTCATTTTGCAGAGAATTTCACGCTACATCTTTTCATGATAAAATCATACCTTTTAGTTCAAAGAAAAAAAGAGTTAGAAATAAAATACTGAGAGAACCATTTGTTCTGCTCCACCCATTATTTATCTATATGCAATAAATTTAAGCTAACAATAGCCGAGCAATTATTTCGACACATATCCATGAATACAAAAAGATTATTCAAAAGTAAATTGATCTTGCTACTGAACATTTCTATAACGTATTCGAACATTTCCTGTAGACAAATAGATATAAGAGAGTTCTTATTGAATAAATATAAGTAGCTCTCAGAACTTTTTCAATGCTCTATGTAATTTAAGAAATTTATCATGAATATAAGAGAACAAAGCTTTAATCAAGATAGTTCTTTCAGTGTGATTCTTAACTAAAGGTTAACAATTAATTTTTATAAGTGACAATTGTTGTATAACTGCACAGTGTAATGCTTGTTACGTTATATTGTTGTTAACATGTTGAACACTTTCTTCATCAATTTGTTATTTAGTTTTGTAAGTACATTTTTTGTGCTTGCGAATTGACTATAAACATACCATGTGCGATGTTAGTTTTTCTTCTTGTTTGATTCCCAGTTTCGTACTTGTTGACCTTGAAAAGTCATTCGATTGCTCTTTTCCATATAAGTATTTTTGTTTTCTTTCGATTTTTTCTTCTTACAGATTGAAACTCATCATTTTCAAAATTCTTGTATGTCGTTGTCTATATCATTAGACCTTCATTTAGGTGTTAATATAATATCTTCAGGTGTACATTGTAGCTGGTTTTTCTGTTTATATTCATCAGTTACTTTTTTTAATTCATATCCTTTATCTAACGTTGATATTCTATCGTAATACAAATAATCCATAATTTACAATTGAATGAATACATCATTTTTAAGAAAAATTGATTATAGATTCTTTAGTTAAATATGTAGATAAAAGAATTACACTTTGAGTGCATAAAATTTATGCACTCATCAGAGAGGAACGAAAATAGTTGACTTCCCAGGGAGTAAAAAAATGAAAAAAATTTCATTTAAATGATTATTTTCAAACTTTTCATCAAAAAAATTTCGTTACTGTAATTATTTTGCAAAAATCAAACTCATCCAGATAGTTTCATTATCTTTGTATCATTTTCATTGCTTTAAATTGTTTATTCTNGCTTTTTATCTTGAAATCTCACGAGAAAAATTTGATAGAAGTCCATTAAACGCTCTATCGACCATGCGCACATATTCTTGTTTGTCTATCCCTGGTGTTGTCAGTTATCGAGTCATTTGTTCATTAGTCTAACCACTACTTTTATAATCTATAGCTCGAATTAAATCTCAACTATATAATGTATACGCTACGTTTTGTCTCCTAACACATTGGGCTGTCTTTCGAAATGCAGTTGGCTTGATAGAATGCTATAACTATAAAGTGATGTAAAATTACCCTGCTCAGCACTATGTCGTACTGTTGAGCATTACGTCGTCCTGCTCAGCACTACGTCGTACTGCTCAGCACTATGGAAATGTGCTAACTATTCATTGAAGCTAGACTATTTTTTATTAACAGCAGTGAGATGAATTTCGTTCCGGGCCGGATTTCCGGTGATATTTCGGCCTGGGCCGAAACGCCGCCGGAATTTAGGCCCGGGCCGAAGTTTCAGGCCGAAAATTCCTTGGCCCGAATTTCTGGCCTCCCTTCTGTCAAATTCATAATAAAGAAACAGTATTTTCTGTAAAACGAGTAGTCAAAGCCTATTGTTAAAAAGAAAAGAATTATCCGAAAATTTATTCGTCGATTGTCCAACAAGTTGAATAAAAAAAATGGTCATTTGAATTTAATGGGTTGTCGTACAGTTAAGGAAAGATCTGATCAATATGTTAAAAAGTGCACCAGATCCTTAGGAACAATAGCTCTCGTTTCTAATTGTCGAATAATTAGTTCTTTTAGCGAACTGTACAGATCAGAAACACTTCGAGAGATTATTAATATTTTTGCAATCACCATATAAGAGATATAAATTTGTTTCAAGTTATTAAGCTTACTTTTCTTAATATTTTATATTTGCTGGAACATTGCCGTCCACGTGTGTCTATGATGATGGGTGCCATCTTGTTAAATATATAAAATATCATATTGGCACCGAGCTCGTAGAAACACCTGCCATGGTACTACTTTGTTCAACTCCAATTAATGTTGACAGGAGTCATTTTCCAAATCATGTTGGAGTATTCTGCCGAAAAACAATGGACCCAAATAAAAATCCATGTTTGTGTTGCAGTTATTTTCCTATTATCAACTCATTTTAATTTGTAGTATTAAAGGATGTCAATGCACAGGCAGCAGAACAAACGTTTTCGTGGTTAAAACAATATGCTCAAATCATCAGTAACTTGAATTACCTACGTGCTCCAGTATTCATGTTGGTCCTCTTCCATTTAAAAAATCTGTCGACGGTTAGAATATCATCATCATTTATCTTTGATGTTGTCAGTTGACATTGTATTAGAAATTGCTCAACATGCAGTTTTTTTTTCACAGGCTTATGCAATTTCTGAAGTTCATGGCGTCTCTCTTTGTCACTTGGCTGATAATGCATGTCAAAAATTATCAATTTCTCAACAAAATATTGGGATTTCTATCGATACAAACTCGATTCATACATTAGATTTTAATCAATTGAATTTACCCAAACGGACAGCTGATTGGGACATTAAATTGTGCGACATTATGGCTAAAAAGAATTAAATTAATCTAATATTTTCTTCGTTGGATTTATCCCAACTTTTTATTGATTGACGTACAAGCGAATTTAACGAGAAAACTACTATTAGAAAAAAAACTCGAAGTAAAATATTCATATTAGAAATTTTCTTTGAAGTACAATAACAACCCTTGAGTGAAATACAAAGTTCCATATGCGACAGAATTTTATGGAAGGCATCCATGAAAAATGAATATTCATTGCAAAATACTGCCCTAAATATAATAACAATCGTTATAGATAATAAACCAACGTTTTGCTAAGTAATAAGGATTCTAGCACAATTCTGCTGAAAAAGAAAAATTCTCAGCAGAATTTTGATTTTGAAGCAAGGATAAGTATATTGAAAGGAATATAATTCTGCTAGGGCATCAGAATTCTAACACAATTCTGCTGGGAAGACAAAATTCTAAGGAGAATTTAGATTTTAAAGCAAGGATAAGTATATGTGATAGAACACTATTCCCGTGTAATGAACAGAATTCGTAATAGAATTATTATTTTTTTACTATCTTGTTATAAGAATTTTATTAATATAAAGAGATTGCATATGTAAATAGTGCTAAATGTATACACAATACAGAATTCCTAAATTCTGCTTGTGAGAACTCTGTCACCTCTCCTTGAAACACATCAGAAAAGAATATTGTGTAAGAGGATCAAAACTTATTTTATATTCGTTATTCATAATTCATATTGCAAAAAGCATAAAATGAGGCTAGTTTTAGTTCTCAAGTCGACATTTATTAGAGTATACAGATTTTGTTCCACTGAAATCATTTGAAATCTCTCAACAACTTTCAGATCTGCTTTTGTCGCTTTCAGGAAAATACATAATGAACTAGCAGTACTTTAATAGTTCGATACTAAGCTTCAGAAGAGTGTGAATGTAAGTCAAGAAAAGACGAACACCTAAACTCACACTGAAGAACTAAAGAAACGAGTCAAATATGAACTTCTTGATGAATAATGACAACAACTACTTTGAGTTTTTCATTTGACAACAAGAGACTTGTATTTGAAATGAGAAAGAGCTCTATTCAATTTTTGATTTAAATGCAAATTCATTAAAAATAGAACTTTTCTTGTTTTCCTTATGCTTTTGTTTATCTTGAGTTTAATTGTCAAGAGCTTATCTGTCGACCTATCAATCTAGATTTTTATAATAAAAAAAAGTTCTCAAAAAAATTTATTCAATATATTACATTCATTACTATAAACATTAAATAATTCTAAAAAAAATTGTTATTAATAACTTATAATTTAGTTTTACACATTACACTTGTGTTTAATAACTGTATAGAAGATATTTTGTACAATCTTCTATTTACATTATCATATGAAAAATTAACTAGAATGATTGGACATAATACAAGCAAAAGGATTTGATTGTCGTAGAAATTTAAACCAATGTAATGTTTTTCGACATCTAATTAAATGATTTTCAAGATTCTCTCGATATCCTTTCCATCCACATTTATTAGTACATATAACTATTCGTTTTGGACATATGTAAGTAATATGATCAGCAAAATTACCTCGTCTAATATTTGTTTGTTGACACAATGAACATTGGACTAGTAAATGATTGAGTTGATTAAATAGAATACGAGTAATAACAGGTACAAATGTAGATTCATCTTGTCGACAAAATGGACATGATAATTGTTGTTTTCTCCATAAATCAAAACATCTTTGACAAACTGTTTGACCACATTTAGTACAATTGACAGGTGATTGAAAAGGTTCATTACAGATATTACATATGAGTTCAAGATCAATTTGATCTTCATTTACATATGTATAAATTGACATTAGATAGTTCTTTTTTCTTTTTGTCGTTGTAAATTGTTTTGACTGATTTAATACGTGGCTAGTTAATAATATATTTTTTTTTATACTATTGACAAAGTGACATAAAGGGAAGAAAAAAACCATGAACTATCATTTCCATTATCGAATGAGTCACAAAACGCACATGAAAACCTTTTTCTTTTTCTTTTCTGCATCATTGTAATTTTCGTTGTTTCATTGAGTGTGACGTCGAAAGCATCATTTGTTGTGTTTTAGTCAAGAAAAAAATGATTCATAATAGCCATAAAGCTGTGTGCAGCGATGATTCGTATCGTGGACTGTTCTCTAAAAATGACTGCGTTTACAGTACTGGCAAAGGTGAAATTCATACAACGAAATTCTTTTTATTCTTTTTCATTTTTTATCTTAACAATGACAATATCATAGTTGTGACAAGAACACCAACTATTATGAATTTACTACGATTCAATTATCAAGGATTATTATAATGATAGGTAAGATCTATTTATCGCAATCAAAATATTTACTGATGTAGATCAATATATTGATTTTGATTACAGGAATAAATAATAAAATTATTTCTATTTGATCACGATTAAACTATTTTTTTGAAAAAAAAGTAATCTTTCATTTATTCAATGTTAAAAAAAAACAGTTCGAACATAGGACATGAAAAAAAATAATCAGAAAGTGTTTTTTTAATCATGATCTGCATTGACTAGTTGATTAAAAAAAATCAAAGACAATCTTATTTCATTGAATAATTTTGCATCTATAAGTGTTGATCGAGAAGAATTTTTTTTTTTTGAGCTGTTGATAGTGCTTTCAATTTCATATGCTTCTTTTAATAAACGAAGTTATTTGAAGTGAAAAATAAAATAAACATAAAAAAGTAATAATAATGAGCAAGTAATGTATTTTACGAAATAATATTGAAACTTGAATTATATACAGAAGTATGAATATGGTAATGTTTAAAATAAATCCATTTGACAAAATTATAGAAATTCATTATACATTACTGGAAATAATAACGACATATTTGAAACTAGAATCCAAATGTCTTCGTTCGATCTCTCACATCGGAAAGTGAGACTCTGAGAGGATAGCAAATCATCGAGATTCGAGTAACCGATATTCCGAACATTTGAAAATTTTCTAAAATTTGAAAAAAAATTCATTTTCTCTATTTCTTTTATTTTTCAAGCTCTTGATACTCATCGAATATTTCTGCAGGATAGAAGATTGACATATATAGTGACTATCGAAATTGTTCAACAAGTTTTCTTTTCAGTTTTTTTTCTGCAATTTTTACCACTAAAAAGAACATAAGGAAATAAAAATAATTACCAAAAATGAAGTTTTTATAGAACCCAAAACCTAATTTTTGAACACTCAAAACACAAACATAATTTTGTTTAGACTTCATAGAAAATAATTTTGTACAAAATATGACGTCTTTTTAGCTGAAAGAAAATCGATTGTATCTTCACCGGTGAGTCTTATTTCATATGTAATCGGTTTATTCGTTAATTATAGAAATATAAAGCAGAAAAGTAATAGTAAATATTTTATGAAAAATTAAGATGTGTTCTAAAGCTGTTCAATATTGAAAATTCAAAATCTTTTCACAATCAAATTCACTTACTCTTAAAGTACGATTCAACATTTACTATAGAATAAGACAATATTTAAAATGAGTAAGGTTACTTACATTTGTTACTCATTGTATGAGTTACAGAGATGAATTCACTATCAAGCGAGTCTGATAATGTACATAGAGAATGGCATATTGCTCCATTCTATGGAAAAATCATTCTTAAAGAATGAGAAGTAACATAAAATGATGAATCTAAAATATTGCAATAATAATTGTAGTCATCAATAAGTTTATGCACATTAAAAAAGTCACCTTCAATGAGCACAATCGAAAAATTCATATCTTATTTTCAGTTTAAGGACAGACAGACTACCTTCATTAAGTCCTGTATCTGCCAACAAAATATCTATTGACACTATTTCAAGACATATAAACACAACTGTTTCAGAAGTTGATGACTTTGATACTATTGAATCTTAGAGTAATTCACAAACTTCTCAACATGGACAAGGAATATATATATATATATTATTACAACTTTTATTTTCTTTACTTGTGTAATCAATTGTAAAGAAATGATAACCAAAGACTAAACTTTTTTGTACTTATCTCCCTTACAGTCACGAAATAAAGCAAACATTCAAATCTGACAGTAGTGTTAATGTATTGAAGTAGAACTCTGCAGAGTCAAACTTTTTGATTTCAAAAACCTTGGAATTTTTTTTGACTAACATATAAACTTCTTCTCGTTCTACATCTATTAATAAGAATGCCGCTGTGATGTTGTTTTTCTTGAAAATTATATTAATCTAAGAAGTTCATTACTTCATAAATAGAGAATAAACTGTTTACTATGGAAGAGTAATAATACTCGATTGTTTTACTGATGTAACTCCAATATCGACTCCAACAGACTTGGAGTTGAGTTCTGGAGATCGGTATAGAGCTCCATATTGGTGTTTTTCATGCAATATTGTCGACTATGTTACGATTTGACCCCTATGCATCCAGTCATATAATTTATCTTATCATTACTAAAGTGTAAGTATAAATGGATGTCTTCTTTGGTTATACTTTTATTGAATATAGCAAATTGATTTTATTAATTATGTTAACATTTTATTTTTTTCAAATAAAATAATTTCTTCTAAAAATGATTGTGAAGTGAGAATTCATTAGATGAAAACGAAAATTTTGAGAGACATAAATTAGACAATGATCAACTATTCTCTGTAATGAATACCATAGATTTGTTTTCACACGGAAGAAATAAAAAGCTAATCGGATGAAGAATACGAATGTGTCAATATAATTGCAAAACGAAGGAAGCAATAAAAATATTGTTTTTTTTTTCTTCGAATGAGTCAATATATCGACCACGCATTTCAATTTTATTATTCACGTTTTTAAAGAATATGACAATCAACAAATGAAACAGTTGAATTCTTTGAATGCCAAAGAAGAAAAAAAAAATTTTTGTTTTTAAAAATTTATCGATTTTTCTCAACAGAATAATTGTTCTTTTTTCTCTATCATAAAAAGTTATCAATCACAACCTTGTGATTGTATTTCTTGACGCGACTACTACACGAAACAACACGAGGTAAAAATGAATCACATATAAAATAGGCAACATATAATTACAAATTTTTTAATCGTTTTTGTTTTCTAGATAAAAACAGACGAATAATGACGAAAAGTTTTTCTCTAGTACATCTCTACTTTATTCGTCATGGAGAATCCGAAGCCAATATTCAAAGTATTTATATATGTGGTCAAAGTATTTCATGTCCATTAACTTCCTTAGGAAAAGAACAAGCTGTTTTATTAGGCAAACGATTAAAATATGAAAATATGAAATTTGATTATTTTCTATGTTCAACTGCTATTCGTGCAAAACAAACAGCAGATATTGTTTTAGAAAAAATGAATATTGATTCATCAAAATTAATTATATCAAATGCACTTTTAGAACAATCTCAAGGTTCATGGGAAGGAATGGATCGTCTTGAATGTTATACAGATGAAATTATGAAAAAACTGGATGAATTACATATGGAATTTTGTGCTCCAAATGGTGAATCAATACGAATGGTACAAAAACGTGCTATCACATTTTTAGAATTCTATATTGAACAAGCTAAAAATCAAAGTATTGAAGAAAATAGAGAAATATCAATTGTTATTTTTTCACATGCTAATTTAATTCGTGCTGTATTACAATATTATTTACAAAGTAACCCAAAATATACATGGCTTATTGAACAAAATAATGCATCAATTAGTGAAATTGTTTTTAATCAATATGGAATATCATTAGTTAAAGTTAATGACACTGGTCATTTAAAATTTTTAATGCCAGAATCATTAGAAAAAAATTGATATGATTATGAAATGAAATAAATAAAGCAAATATTTGTTTTTGCGAAGAATCTTATCAACTTTTATTCATACTTATATAATCTTTTGACGATAAGAATTGATTATATACATGAGATTTCTTTAGAAGAAAAACCAACTATGATTATCAACAGTTATAAAAAAATAAATAAATATCTCCGAATTTTCTACGATAATCTTCGAGGTAANTTTTCAGGAGTTATGACATTTTGAATCTTTGAGAGATGGCTCAACAATTTTCGCAAAAATTCAAAATGTTATAACTCCTGAATGGATGCATATTTTTAGGTGAAATTTGAAATCTGTCGATGAAATTCGATATAGATTAAGACTGAATTGTAAAAAATGGAATACTAAAAAAGAAGCAAAAAGCTTTTTAGGGGTAGCAATAAGATTTTTTTAAATTTTTTCGCAAACTTCGATCGCAAAAATTTTTTGAATAAAACTCATCATTTAGGTTCAACATCATCCTCCATAAGTTTCATCTGGGTCCCATGCTCTGAAACTGAGATTTAGCGTATCCAAAAATCCTGCGCCGCCTATGCTTAAAATGTACAAACTTTTAAGATGACTCTGACTCAAACTCAAACGTTCGATTGAAAGCAAGAGAACTTATTGATAGAATAATAATTCAACGATTTGGAACCCAAATGTCTCAAAATGACAACGATTATCCTCGTGAAGCATATTCTCCTTTACTGCCTATAACAAGCACTCAAACTCTCAATGAAATTTTTCAAACTAAACTTGAATCTCAGTCAATGAAAGATTTCAAATTAAGTCATTAAAAACTATATAAAATAAACTAAAAAAAAAAGGATAAATCTTTTGTTTTTTTATATAGAATTATTTTCTTGAGCATGCGAAATTAACAGAAAAAATCGAATATGATGCAAATGTATTATTAACCGATGTTCATCTTTATGAATTAAATCAATTTGATTGGCCTTATTTTGAAACAATTCGTATTCGTGCATGTCCTCATTTAACACCATTTTCTATGAATTATATTGAACAAATTTCTAAAAAGCAAATTGATCGACAAATAAATGCTGTAAGATTTCTAAACAAACATTTTAATCTTTAGATCTATTAGCTATGAAAATTCTAGAATATCTATTAATTAGTTATTCATTTTTTAGAGTGTCGAATTAATGCTTCACTTTCATAATACAGTAGAAAATAAAAACGATTCAATTGATAATACTATTGCCCAACTGGAACCATTCTTTAGAAAAGCAAAAATTTTTCTATAGTTTTTTTTTTTGAATTACTCTATTACAATATCACATTTGTATATTGAAGAGTAAGAAAATCTCAATAATAAAAGTCTTAATTTATCATGCTAATACTCAAAATGATTCTATGTTATCATCAAAACATATGATTATAAATTAAATACAAAAATCAAAAGAAAATTCTTCTATGTTACTTAATTATTTATCATCGACACATGATAAATATCAAGTAGCACTTTTTGAATGTGCCAGTGTAAGTTCAATGCTAAATTTTTTAGCGAACCAAAAACAAAAAGAAGATTTGTTTTATTTGTGATTCAAGTTGATACTATTCAAAGAATTGTATACAGCATTTCATCCACAAATAATCTATATTATTGTTTTGAATGTTGACGATCTTACTTAAATGTTTTTTTTTCACTTGATTCTACTGCATCATATTCAATTTTGGTAAATAAGATGCACAAAAACAAAAACGACAAGAATATTTATTTGAATAATTTTAACAAAAACAACAAATTCGATTAACTCTTAATAACAACGAATCTGATGAACAATTTTTATCTAATATACATTTACAATTGGAATGTCTTTCCAAGTCAGCTGATGAAATTTATTCACAATTTATTACTGAAAAACCAAAAAAAATGTAACTTTAAATAAATATTCAATTTGTAAAGATCTTTGAATTTGAATTATATTTTCAGAGCAGAGAATGATGATTTTCGTTGCAATCATTATCTTACTAGTCTATGACGTGTTCAAACAAAATGTACGATGTTAAAAAAGAAATTAAGTAATGATCAATTTTTGATATTTCGGCTAAATGTAAGATTATTCAATTGTTAACATAATTTAATAATATATATTTTACCATAGGATTCATCATTAATAATAAATGAGTTAATAAAAGATTCAATCAAGCATTGAAAATCTTTTTATACGTTTGATAGTATTAATAGTATTACAAAAATTGAAGAAAAAAAAAAACAAAGTATTCGGAACCAATGAATCAATAGTGAAACTTGTTAGTGAATTAACAAGTAAAGCAAAAGAACAAAATTTAGATCCAGCAACACAAAGTTCAACGAAAATAACACAAATTTATTATGCACATAAATTAGTTAATGTAAATAATCAAAATTTTTACCAATTTATTTTTTCTCTGATACTAACAAACAATTCCTATCATTTACTTTTTTTTTTTATGGAAAGGCCATTGATAATGATTAGGACATTGAATCTCCAATATAACGTAGTCAAGAATATTTTACAAAAGATAAACTACCATAGAAGATGTTTATTTTTTCGTTTTTCGTTCTATTTTCTTAGACACATCGATCAATAACTGTCATACAACTTGTGTATGAACAAAAAAAACTAGAAATAAAAAATCTTTGCATTTTGTAATTGCATACAATAGATAAAAATCTATCATGAGATTTGTCTAAAATAAACTTATCGAAAAAATTAAAAAATTTCGTGAAAATAATTTATATTTATTCTGCTAATTTTCAACTTTACACAAAAATTTAATAGAGTTATTATTATAGAAAAGGAAAATAAAGATAGAATTGTTTTGGATATACAATTTCTTCTCCAATCAATAGTTTCTTCAATTGAACACAATTGACTCGTGTTAAATCACTGGTGAAATTGTTTGTTGCGATTACCAATTGTTTGTAATTTATTTCAAGTGATGAGAAACAAGGAACATGTGAGTTTATGTTACGTAAAAATTGATGAACATAATCAATATGTGCATTAGTGAGAGTAATTGTCATCAACCGTGGAAAGTAAATGATTGAACTTTGATTGACATTCACTGGTTCAATTTCAGCTTTATGTTCTTGTGGTATTATATTGTCAATAGTTAAATATTTGAGTAATGGAAAAGCGCGAGCAATCCAATTAAAATAAACATGTTCAAATGGACGTACATCAAATAACCTTAAGTCCATAACAAGATGAAACGAACTGCCGAAAAAGCTGTTAGTAACACCATAAATATATTCAATTTTAAATGGAACTGAATAAATATGACATTGACCGGCTTTGTCTGAAAAATAATCAACATGACAATTGACTTGACCATATTTCCAATGACTAAACGTATTTTGAACATCATCAACTGATGCATGATGATATGAATATAAGAGTGGCATAATTGTGCGAATATGAAATATGAATGTAGTTAATTGTGACAGATGACTCAGAATTTCTTTCTCAAGATGAATCCCATCAATAAATCTCATTCGAATTACATTAAGACAGAGAATAAGATTTTTTAGATTTGGCATACGACGAATAAGTAATAGTACTTGATTATCATATCCACGTGCAACACCGGTGGTTATTGAAAATACACTCAGATTAGGTAATGTTTTCTATAAACAACAAAATAGTATCATCATTAAGATAACGAAACCATTGAAAATAATTCATTTGAAATATCAATATCCTAATAAATGAAAACTATCTTACAAGAAAAGTATCTCAACTATTTCCGAGCTTTCGATTCTTTCTTTTGACTATGAATAGATCTCAGTGCGACTAATAAAACACTAAAAATATTCGTGAACATAAAGTACCATTGATGAGTTACGATGGTCTACATATTAAAAAAAATATCATTTTTTCACTTATTTTTTTTTTAATTTTAGTCAGGATGACAACTAATCGAATGATATATTGTTTCTCGCAGATATACTAAATATTATTCATTAGATTCGTAAAGTTCCAGTTTAAATATTTGCATGGATATCGATCTAGCTATTATATTTCACTTATATTCCTATAAGAATCCATGTATATACTTAGGGCAATCGAAAAATAGTGACGGTCGCATCTTAATTTTGTAAAGAAGGCTTGAGAAAACTTTCTCTCTATATAGTTTGATAGAGAAAAGAATGCTCTATTTTTCTCTGCTTTTTTTATCATACATGAACAAGTATCATAATAATAAATTTTCCATAAGAACTGTTTTTGTTGAAAACTAGCTGGTAGCCTTTAGATCATAATAGATATGGCATAAAAAATGGGGCACTTTTGCATTTCATTTTATCATCACTTAATATGTTGTATTAAAAAACAAAATATACAAGCACAAGATGCAGCGTGAAAAGCTCTACAATTTATAAAGGATCGCTTATTTTAGTTTCACTTTTTGTTTTCAAAATGTGACAAAATTTTGAGCGACCAAATTTCAACATTGCGAAAAAGAGATTGTTTTTTGGTAAAAGACGAATTCGGTTTTTTTCTCTCATCTTTTTATAATTGCTCTTTGTAAATTGTAGAGCTTTTCACGCTGCATCTTGTGCTTGTATATTTCGTTTTTTTAATACAACGTATTAAGTGATGATAAAATGAAATGCAAATGTGTCACACCCATTATGATCTAATGCTACCAGTTAATTTTCAACAAAAACCGTTCTTATCTTCTATTTTATTCTTATGATATTAGTTGATGTATGATCAAATAGCATAGAAAAATCGAGCTTTCTTTTCTCTATCAGACTATATAGAGAAAGTTTTCTTAAGTCTTCTATACAAAATTAAGATGCGGTCACCACTATTTTTGGATTTCCTTAAGTAGAATAGGATATATTTAGAGTAGATTGTTTCTGTGTTAGAGGATACACTAATAGATAATAATGAAGTACAGTAATATGATGGATAAACTCTTTTTGCTATTTATTTTCTTGATCCGAGCATCACTCTTGTTATTATTGACATGTTAACTGATTGAGTTCTGAAAGGAATATCTTATAATCGAATTAACTATTCAATTCAAATAACTTTGGGCTCAATGATCATTTGTGTGACACAATCATAAAATTCTGTTCCTGTTCTTATATAGCTTTGAAGTATTTTATTCTTGATGATATTAACCACGCCAATGAAACATGATAATTTCCTTAAGTCCGATGCAAACGATTGAACTAGATCTTTTAAGAATGCAAAGACTGCTAATCAGTTTATCTGTAAGAAACAAATTACCAGACTCATTATGATCATGAATGAAAAAAAAATTTTTTTTTCAAAAAACAAAATTTAAAAAAATCAGATTTTTGTTTCAATATAGCAACAATCGTATCTCGACTAAGATACTCTATGTGTACGAACCATTATAGAATCTTGATTAGCTTCATTGAGATCTACTTATAATCAAAAGATGAGATCGAAAACTTGCAAACAATTGAAGTCTCTCCATCATTAATTTAGATAATGTTACTTACCGTATTGTCAACTGCCGATGGCGTTTCGCTAATAAAATCAATTTTAACAGAAAATGAGAATAATTTATCTAGTCGACCATCTAGTAAACATAAGCAATCATCAAAACTTGCTGCAATAACGGATAAAATGGACAAAGTTGAAGAGGAACAAGTATTTGAAGGTCGATTGTAGATCGATAGTTTTGAGTTTACACCAATCCCACCCACATCTAATTCTCCAAGTTTAGTGCATAATGCAAAGATATGGACACATGCATCTGTTAATAACTCGTTGCTTGCTTGGCTTGTTGTGTTTATAACATGAATACGCATTATTTGTTCTTTAAATAAGCGAGCAATCGGTGATCCACCTACGAATTCATAATAAAATAAATGTTAATATAGTTCAGTTTTCATCGAAAAAGTTGATAACATATCAAAACGTATCAATGTACGCATGTCGTAGGAGACATTTTCCTGAATTTTAATTTCTTCTGCCTGTGACTTATATAAACATTATTTCTTACCTTTTAAACAATTTAAAACTATGTCTGGTCGAAAACAGGAAAAAATGATTGTTTGAAGAATGGGATATTCACAAGCAAGAAGAACATGTTTCATGGACCAATGATCAAGAATAAGTGTTCTTACATTGTAACATATTCGAGGCATTATACAAGAGCAGAATCGATTGAATATTTTATGATCCATAGAGAGATGTTCATCACCAGTTGACGATAAATTCGTAAAGTTTATTAGATGAGTATTAGATAGACTATCTATCAGTTGATCAATCCTTTTATTAACATCCAAAAGTGAGTAGAGTATATCATTGCGTTTCAGTTTTTTCATAATCATGAGCAACAATTCGTCAGGTAAATCGAGTAGCTGAATGCTTCGATGTTTCATATTTGTGATCAAACAGATGTTATCTTCATCGTCATTGACATATATATATTCATTTCATGCATTGTTTTTTTTCGTCAGCGGAAAGAAATAGGGCATTGTTTACTGCTGTCTAATGAAATGGAAATTAATAATACATCGATTTTTCTTTCGTTGTGATTGGCGAAAACAAGTGAAATATTGTTCGACTATTGAAGTTGCCTTTCTTTCTTTTTCTAGACGAATTATTATGTGTCTTGTTCGCTGAAAATTTTCTATCTTATGATCTTTTTCGTAGAAGCTTCTCTTTGTTGAAAAACTGAAAAACTCAATGTTATTAGAATAAAAGAATGAAATACGAATCTGATCATATATTGATATTCAAATCAGGCAAAACTGTTTATAATAAGAGATTTTTTGAAATTACAATTTATGCAGTTTTCAGTTGAAGTTATAACTATAATAAAATTGAATATCGAAGTTCTAATTTCAATAAAAAAAAAGAAATCTGTGAAACTTGACTATATTAACCTAAATGTTCAACATATAATTATTTGTAAGATCTAATGCTCTGCAGGTTACGAGAGTTACAGAGTAGGAGTAGGTTATAAAATTTTTTTCGGCGCAAGTTACTGAGGTCATAACCTGGCAACTTGCGATAGAAATAATAACGCCAACATGCGTAGAAGATTCCAAAAATAAGAGAAGAGATTTTGAATTAGATTAAACCGTTACAAATATTCTCATATGAATAGTAATGATCTTGCGGTTTCTCTCTTGAATATGACATACACACATATATCATTAGTATATGTTTCACATTTTTCTTCTTTTTCTAATTTAGTTAGTGTGAAGTATTCCCAAGTTGAATATTCCATGGACTGTCTCTTGGGTGTCTCCAATGTCAATGCATCCGTATTTTTTTTTATTCTGCGTGTGTTTTATTTGTGACACTCTGGAACGCTTACAAATGGGATAGGTTATAAAAGGTGGCGGGAATAACAAGGAAAAAAAAGAGAAAAGGACGAAAGACAAGAAGAAAATAGAAAAAGACAAAAGTGGGTAGGAGAGGTGTAATAATGAGGAAGTGATAAGAATAGAAGGATTGCAGATAACATGATGCTACGTCCGTATTCAAAAGGCTCCATATGTTAATCGAGTTTGTGCTTAAAGTTGTTATAACAACCATGCAACATCAACGAGATAACATTTGTAGTTATCAGTCAGAATAAAGACACTTTATTTTGAAAATACAAAAAACTAATTCTCCAGCTCATATGCAAAAAAAAAAAAAAAAAAAACATTGTCTTCCATGTTACTCTCCTTGATCAGATTGATCTTCTCTTGTAAAGTTACTTCATGTCAGCATATCGTATTCACAATGAGTCAGCACACAGCCTTTTCTCTTTGTCATTTTTATCAGATATTAATGAGAGTGAGAAACAGCGGACTTCAAGACTTCAAGCACAGAAACTTCAAATTTTTTAAAAACTTCTAAAGATTTCATGAGACTTCACAGAACTTGAAGAGACTTCAAAAGACTTCAAGAAACTTCATGAGACTTCAGTCGTGAAGTCTCAATTGTTTTCTCCTCGTATTAATATAGTGTTTTGTCGGTCCTCTTTTTTTTTCAATATATGAGAAGAAATCAGCTATAACATACTTCGAATTCAATGTTCCTTGCAAAATCAATGTTCTTATTGGAGAGATTCCTCTATAAATCAGAAGAAAAAATTAATTGGCATTAAGAAGTAGCTGATATGACAGCTAGGAAAATTTTCCCACTAGTTCTCCAATAAGCTGATTTATTTAAATTAAAAATTCACTTCGAGTGTAGTGTATACTTATTGAAATAGCTGAACGAGTAAATTCTGTAATCGAGAATAGTTGTGTATAGAATGATCTCAAAGTCAAAAAAAAAACTCATGGACAACAAATTAGCGCAGTGGCCTAAGTAATATGGAAAACCACTATGATTCATGTTGTGAATGAACAAATAAAATCATAGATTAATCTATGCAATAAAAGTCGCCCTAAAGTGTCTATTATCTCTAGTAAGATATTAACAAAGTCCATAGGTGCTTTTCGATTCAAAATCATTTTGTTAGATCTAGTTGTGTCCTAAGTACATATATAATCATTTCGAACACAATTCAAATTGAGGAATTGTATTGAATCTTAATTTCCTAGTAACTCATCATCAATAATGATAGTATGACAACTGAACTGAATTTTTCAGAAAAAATCATTGCATTAGAGTATAGAAAAAAATTCTCTCAGTTACAGGGCAGATTAATGCAGAAATTTTGCCGGCCATGGCAGAGTCAGGTTGTCAAAATTTTTACAGAGCAGGTTACAGGTTACAAAAATACCGTTCCCTGCAGGCGTCTAGTAAGACATCATCTAAATTGATATTAAAATGTAATCCAAAAGTCTATGTAAAATAAAACTCAAATGAATAATCTATTTGAAGAAAATTATTTAAAAAACGTTTGTGGAAATCAATTAGTTATATAATGACAAATTCAATAATAATAATTTCTTGCTCTTTCTTAAATATACCTAATTCTTTTATTGGTTTTGTTCTATAGATGAAAAACAATGAAATAATTATAAGTTTTGCTCTTTCATATTTATCTATATCACTTACAGACAAGTGAAGATTTATTTTCTCACAAATATAAATTTTTTTTTCAGACATGACTAAAATAGAGACTATCTTGGAAAAATTATTATGTTAGAAAAAAAAATTTATCGAATATAATGTTTATTTCTATGTAAATAATTGATTATTTCATGCCATATCTACGTTTTTTAAAGTACTCTGGTTGGTTAGAGGTAGAAATTTGTAATTAATGAATATGAATGTGCATCTAACATTTCTTAGTCTTAGTATATAAATATCTAGATACTTTTTAGGCCAAGATTAAATAGATAATACAAAGATAAAATCAATTTAACGAAAAGCATTGAAATTCATATTAGAACAATTAATAGACTATACAATACTCTACTATAAACAATTTGATTTTATTCATCATTTGTATGTATTGAATATCGTACTATTATTTTTATTCTCTTGTATATTTAGAAGATTTTAAAAAGATTATTCTTTTTTAGACAGATCAAGCAAAATGAACTGTTATTAATACTATCGATGCTAATCCAGTAAAAATTCATCTCTTTTCAGGAACATATCTTAGAAGGTTTATGAGAAGAATCATTCCGATCAAACAAATTTGAAGATCTGAAGGAAAATACAGGCCGAACATTATTCACAAGTCAAATCTGCTTTTTCATCATGGTAGACCTTCCAAAAACGGACAATTTCCTCTTAAAGAATTCTCAGCCACGTACCAATCTCTTTCCAAAGATAAAAATCGATTCCTACAACTAGGAGATCTATCACCGTTATTTTTCTGTTTTTATGATAAAAACTCTTTTCAAATCCCTATTGATATTAATCATATAAAGTTGCTTATATTCTAAATAATCCGTTGCTTCCATTTTTCATCCGTATTTGTCTATCATAATCAACTGGTTAATATTTAAACATAGAATGCAACTGTTACTTTTATTTATTTGAGCAAGTGTTATATGAAAATAACTAGTCTACATATGAAAGACATTATTGTCTTTAATATCATAGGTGAAACTTTTACCGATATCAGGCATAAAAAACTTGAGTCAGTTTCATCCTTGTCTCTTTCATAATTATTTGTATTAATTACTCGAATATTTAACAAAATATTATTGGATTTATTTGATCCATAATATATATTATTTGTCCGATTTAGAATAAATTTGTTTGATTAGATTTAAGATAATATTCTTGTTCTAAAAGAAAATGTAATGATATTTCATTCGATATATCAGAATGACCGTTGAATTTTAATGATAAATAAACATAATCAAAAACGAAAATTTAATGAAGCATCTTAATCTTCTGTTCGAATTCTAATTAAATAAATAATATGAGATTTAACATTGGATTTCCATGTTGTTATTTTTTTAATATTTATATCTGTTTTTTATTATTGATTCAACAATATCATTTATTGGAAATCTATTTATTAAGAAGAGACTTTATTAAAATTTATTTGATCATCAATCTCATATTATAATATTACCAGATTATTAAACATTGGATTTCAATTGATTCAGAAGTCCGCTGAGTATTTTCATCATCAATTTATTGAAGATCTATTTTATTTAATCAGTTTATAAAAAAATAGAAAAAATATTTTTCAAATTTTTTTATTGAATTAATATATTTATTTCGTGTCGGTAGACATATTCATTGATACATCCAGATATCAATTGACAAAGTATGTTCAAGAGAAAAAAATCAAGTCAATATAATATTAATAAGCCATTAAAATTTCATCATTTCATCTTATATTTATTAACAGATTTGACTGAGTTTTATATAATATTTGATAAATTGAATCTATATATTATCATAAAAAAATTCAATCTTAAAAGTAAGATGAATAAATTCTTAGCCTAATTCTCGAACTTTTTTGATCAGTTAATTCACTTTCTAATACGATCAAGTTCTTCATCTAGAAAAAAACCAATATTTACATATAATGAAATTATTTATTTTATTTTATTCATATAGTCAGGATCAATATCTCTAATAATGCCTATTTTATATTTGTCATATATTTTATTATTATTTATTTTCGTAGAATAATACTTATCATTTAACCTCTTGAATACCGCTATCGTCAGTCTAAAGACAAGCAAAACGCAAGAATTTTTTTTTTCGTTCTCTCGTATCAATAAACAACTGCGAAACGAAATGTTTATCCATACTGCTGTATCAATCAACATTTCGTATACGAGAAAAAATATCTATATACAGCTGATTCAAGACGATAGGACAGGACGCAAGAGAGTGATTTTTCTATAAGCTCGTTAAGAACGCAAGAATTGTCGGTATCCAAGAGGTTAATTAATTATAAATGATTATATATTGACTAGTTGCATTTTGCATTTTTATGATTTTCATTAAAATATATCGAAATTTGTTTTAATTAAAAAAATAAATTATGAAAAACTTGATTAATTCTATTTTTTTTCCATTTACTTCTCCAAGTGAACAAATAGCATAAAGAAAAAAACTTGATTTACTTTACCCAGGGACAGCGCGAAGAGGTTGGAGCAGGAGGGGGGTCAGTCCTAAAATCGGAGAAAGTCAAAAAGTGTTCGCTAAACTGAAATTTTCTCCGAATCAAAATTTTGTAATATATTTCTCCAAAATCGGAGAAAATCGTCTACTCATTTTCTCCAAAATTGGATTTTTCTGGANATTAAAAGTAAATTGAGAATAAAAAACGGATAAAATGAAAATTAACATAATGAAGAACATGATCTGTCTTGCCACTGTTTAATGACTATACTGATTCTACAGTACATAGTTTACTTGCGTAGATTTGATTACGATTATAAACAATATTTTGTTTTGTCATTTTTCGATTTATTTCATATCATGAATTATTCAATTTTTCTATTTCATCAATAATAGAGTATACATCAAAATTCAATGAATAATTTTATCAAAAATATTAATTTTGATACTAATTTTTAAATTTTCTTCTTCCAGATGGAAAGAATCATACATTGTTATAATCAAATGTGTTACTAATAAAATGCAATTCGTTTTCTTTTCTCATCTTTATTGATTTTCATCATTGATACAAATAAGATATTTATTTAAAGAGGAAACACAAACTATTTTAATTTAATATGAAATAATAAAGAAAAATATCAAAAGATGAATATGCCGATTTATTCAAACATCGAAATAATACAAAACATACTTACTACTTGATCAGGAAAGATTCAATATTTTTATTATATTTTATTTATACGAGAAAAAAAATTTTAATCAAGAATAAAAGTAAAAAACATCAAGAACCTTAATAAACAACTTAACTTGTATCATATATATATTTTATATCTAGCTTTTTTTATTCCAACAACCAATGTGCAGCCAGAAAGAAGATCTGATGACACTATCATTATATCAATCATAAGCAGTATTGATAGTCTTGTATAATGCAGGGTAGGCGTAGATTTTCATTCTTGAATTATATCCACATCCATACCCTCTTTTTTCGAAATTTTCTTTTATCAAATATTTTAACATTTCGACATCAGTTGAGTGAATCTAGTTATGGAGGCCAATCTTGAACAAACTCATTTTTCTTTAGATCTTTGTTTAGCTATATTATACGTTGAAGTGAAGAAAATTTTCAATTTTCAATTCGAATAATAATAATGAGTAGCACATGTTTTGATCGGAAATTTTTCAACTCAAAACATACGCTCTCAGTTTTGAATATTCTAAAAAATCTTTTCTTAATATTTTTTTACTCATAAATAAAGTAAGAAAAATGCAAAATAATCTAGTAATTTGATTTTTCTTACTCGTGTTTTTTTTCATTAATATATTGACAACCAAAAGTTGCTCATCAGTACATAGGTAACTACAGCAAAATAATGTCAATAACAAAAGGTGTAAACGCTTTGCCATGTGTTATTTTTCTTCCTTCATGTTTCATGATCTGGATAGGTAATATTTTTTTACGAAGGTCTGCACAAAATAAAAATAAGAAAAAATATTGTAGGTACATATTTAGATAAATATCATCCAATGAAAAATGCAAACTAAATTTATCGATGTTGATCAACTGTAAATACATCAAATATTGAAATATAATATCATAGTTAATATTTCTATGTCCAAATATGAAAAAGTACTCGTGACGAAAAATTCGATGGTTTCATTTCTGCAAATGTGTCAAATCTATTTAAAAAAAGCACGAATTTTGTTTACCATTAAATTTTATTTAAATTTCAGAAGAAAAAATTACATTAGAATAAAGGGATGAATTATTATTCTATCATGAATAAAGAAGAACAGTGGTAACTTAATTTAATTTGTTAATATTAAAGAAAATTCCAAAATTGTTTGGAATAACTTCTAAACTAGTGTTCGACAGACAGAATATTTCTGACACATGGACAAAAATCTAAGTTAAAAATTTCATCTCTGTAGAATTTGAAAAAAAAAGTAACATAATCCTGCGCACAGTAATGTTTCGTCAGAAGGTAAATGAAAAAAACAACTGAGAGTCCATTTTCTTCTTTTCTCCCATGTTAAGCGACGCAGCAATGACACATGAAACACGACAAAAGATTCTTTCCTTACTCCTCTGAATACGTCGTCATCATGAAAAATTATGATGTAGGATATTTCATCGAAGCATGTCGATCATAATAATATAATAATGTATCTCATCATCATTCTACTATCATTTAGTTAAATTGTGTCAATATGGCTACTGCTGACATTATTCAAGCTGAAGAGTTAAATAAACAATCTTATGTAGATGATGGTTGTTCTTCTGTAAGTAAGATAGAAAAACAGACAACAATTCTCAGTTCAATAACAAATATTCCAAAACAAGAATTTATTATTGAAAAAAAGAAATATTCTTTAAATGAATCAGAAACAATACGAGAAGTTCGAATCCGTAGTCTTTCTCATTGGCCACATTTCATACCAAGTAATCAATCAATGATATCTGCTGGTTGGTTTTCATGTAATGTTAATGATCGAGTTATTTGTATATATTGTAATACAATTTGTCATGAATGGACAAATAATGATGATCCAATTGAAGTTCATAAAAGACTTTNGAAATAAAGGATATGTTCTTTATATCTCAGAAACATTACGCGGCTAGAAGAACACGATTATATGACAGTGTTTTCTTGTTTGTTTTTCTATTCTTATGGACCCAACTTGGAACCTTGCTGTGACTATTGAACAGACAGTGCACTTGCTGTGCATCGCTGTCTAAAGTCATTAAAGAAAAGTCGATCAAGTATAAGAAAAGATCGTGTGATACATGACTTCTTGTTCTATTAAGCTAGTTCAAGCTCTCTTATAGAACTTCGAAATCAGAAAAACATTTCAAGTGTCTTTTGTATCTGCAAAGTGTTCAGATTGCAGATTCACTCCGAAGTTCAAAAATGTTTTTCGTAACCCAACCGGACCCGATCCATGTGGGACACTGATATCCACAGAAATAGATAAAAAAATATTGCTCCTTTGCTGAAAACGTTTTTGTGAAACTCACGCATATTTTCGAAGAAAATATCCGGTCAGACAAAATTTTTCAAAAACGTGTTTAAACGCTACAATCGGGAACCGCGATTGTGATCCATTCACGCTCAAAAACAAAACGCTGTTTTTCACGTTTTTTGCTTTTTTTGCGTTTAATTTTCACTTTTAGAGCGTGAAAACTGTGGAAAAACTCCAATTTTAGTATTAAAACGTGCCTTTAGTTCTATAATTTTCTGAAATTTAAAAACAATGCGTTTTAACGCTAATTTTTTGAATTTTTCACCGTTTTCAGGCTTTGAAAGTGAAAATTAAACGCAAAAAAAGCAAAAACCGTGAAAAACCGCGTTTTGTTTTTGAGCGTGAATGGATCACAATCGCGGTTCCCGATTGTAGCGTTTAAACGCGTTTTTGAAAAATTTTGTCTGACCGAGTATGAGCTTATTTAGTGCATGATCCTCTTTCTTAATGCAAATGTCATACTTTTCAAAACTTTCTCAACTTTTTGTAAACTACCGTATAAGAAATACTTCGTTTTGTACCATACGGTTTCCTATTGAAATCTGGAAAAGTTTCATAATAGACATGTTCCAAAGCACGAATTGTTATTCTTCATTATATTTATTTCGATTTTTCAGTCTTGTAAAACGTTTTCAAGAAAAAACATGCAATAACATCAAACTTAAAATCTTTCAGCTCAATCGCTGAGGAACCAAAATATAAAATGCGATGCAATCGCATTTATTTTCTGTAAATATGAATGAGAACCTTTTTCTATCAATCATCTCTGGGAGAAACTTCTTCAGTGTATCGGTATAGATGAGGAGGCAGAGAATTCACATGTCTGGTGATATAATTCAATAGAAGTGATAAACTATGAGTGTGCTTCCGGCTGTACAAAAATGCACTAACTAAAGAGAAAAGTAGTAAATTTAAAACCGTTAAATCAGTGAAAATGATTCAAATAAAAGTTACAAAAGAAAACATAAAATTTTATTTTCTCACAAGTATTGCTACAACGGCCCAACAAATTATTATAATCGAGTAGCCACGTACAGTGAAGGCAATGGAACAATGGGTACCATTGTTTTTGGTGAAACAACATGTGGCCAAGCGGCAGATCAGATCTGTGGTGCTGGTGGGCTTTTCATTGACCGTCAAGGTGCAATATACTATTCAGATTCATCAAATCATCGTATTCTGAAAATCACACCGTTTGTATCAACAGCAGTCATTGTAGCAGGTACGAATGGAAGTTCTGGATCAATGACGAATCAACTTAATAATCCTGGCGGTATTTATGTGGATACGAACGGTACTCTGTATGTGGCAGATAGAGGCAACTTGTAAGTGTTAACTGATTGATAATATTCAATTTTCTCAAATATTTCTCAATCGAACTGAATGTTTTCAAGAGTGAGAGCGACATATTTGAGTGGTAAGCATTGACTGTTTTTCTTGCTACTTTTTTTGAAGAACATAACTAGGTGGTCTTTAAAATTCGCATTTGTATCTTCTCATTGAGATGAAAAATACAGAATTTAGTAATTGAATTTAATTTTGTTTTAGCCGAATCATTATGTTTCCATCGGGTAGTTCAACAGGAACCGTTTTGGTAGCTTTGGCATTTTATCACACTTTGTCTGATTTAATCCTGGACAAAGTGGGAAATATCTACTTTACATCATACGGTGGTGTTTATAAGTTGATTCCAAGCTCAGGTTTTGTCACACAGCTTCTGACCCCTACTTATTGGAGTATTGGACATATGCAACTGGATACCGACGGAAATCTGTATCTTAGCGGCTATTATATGAACAATGGCATTGTTAAATACAGCATTATTTCGAACACTTGTTAACATTTTCCATGATTTCTTTTTATCTATAATTATAATCACGATTGTATGTTTCTTACGTCAGAATCTTCCTTACACAAGTTTTTGTTTGTCTCAGCACAATAACTCTTTAACTCTTAATAAAATATCCTGAAAAGAAAGATTTCTGAATGACGAGTCTGAGAGACGCAAATACATTTTGACAATTAATCACCTCTGGTTTCGCGATTTTTTTAAAATATATTGTAGCCATAATAGGCAATATGGCTTGTTTTCTCCATCAGCTCTTTAGCTTCTATTGCTGAGGGTGTGGGTGTGGGTGTGAGTGACTAGTGAAAAACTCACATTCACACCCACACCCCACCATAATTAATAATGTTGTCACTATTGCAAGTATTGAAACAGGCATTCTTCTTGCCATGACGACACAAACATCAGTAAAAGATACAGCAACTGATGATGAACTGGCATCTACAATAAGCACGATAACATTGACGAACTCCAGGATAACTACAATGCCAACGACAACATCGGTCTGTTCGATACTATGGGTATCGAAGAATATGAGACCATTTCCCACGCCCATGCCCATTAAACACGCACGACAGGTGTATTTCTATCTTCTTCTACAGTTTTATCTATTAGCAGTGAGTGAGTCATTATTTGATAAAGCAGAAGAACCAATCTCTAAATCGACCCGAGTGGAGAATTTCATCAGATGAACTTTTCCACTGTTCCTGTGTTCGTTTTCCAACTCAATCTCTCTTTTGGATAAAGACATCAAAATGAGTAAGTCTTTATGGCACAGTTCGAGGGCAAAGTTCTCGTCTACATGGGTTATTCTGTTTTATCCGCTCATCTCATATATTGTTTGAAAAAGTCATGCATCTGATTGAACATACGAAGTTATAATAAATTTGATAGCGCTCTGAGAAAGCTGAAACACACGTATATTTCTTGAAATTTCAAAATAATAATGATCACTAAAGAAATACTCAGAAAAACAATTCTGATGATATGCATATCTGCGCTCAGTATCAAAAGGTGCATCGACAAAAATAAATTTTAGCATTGAGCCGAATATTTTACCGAGCAGCAGACATCTGCTATCATGTTCGTGTCGTTTGGAAATATTTAAATCACCTGCAACATCTATACATTAAATGGGCCTTATTATGAATAAGAAAGCATAAAAGTTTTGCCAATCTACAAAGCTCATTTGGATCTTTATCGTTTGTTAATGCTATGATTATTAATCGATTTGTAGATGGTTTATCTTGTGTGTACAAGAAACGGGATGGAAAATGTAAGGAGATGAGAGAGTAATGCAACGATTGACGCCAGAAAAGATCGAGTCGGCAATGTTAGGAGCAGCCAAAGCTAAAACGAACAACAAATCGTATCCAAAAAAACAAAAAGCGCAGAAATACAGTATTCCAATGATGAATGAGCAATAATAAACAAAACGATGGAACAGTCAACGAATTTAGGACAGAAATTATGGTGAAATCAACAAAGAAAAGGAGGAAAAGGAAAGATATTGACGAGAAAACTCCTTGATAATTAGGTTTTTTAGAGGTCAAGAACTTAATTCATTAAAAAAAAGCAGTACTTTGCAGCAAGAGCGAATTCACTGATACGCTTCGAATATTTCTCTGATTATCTCTGGACAATTAGTCCACTCTGATCTTAAAATCACCTTAGGTCACTAGTCAAAATGAAAGCTCATATGATCGCAAGTGAAATATACAGAGTCACCTATAAATAACTGGATAATAAGAAACTAAAATATCACCGTCAGATGTCCACCAAAAAAGGTGAAATTTCGTTCAATAATGGAGAATTATTCAAAAGTTACAGAATGACACATATGTGGATGTGAGTGAGATGTGGGGTTGGATCGGTGCGCGCCTGCGTCTAGATCGACGTGTTTCCGTCAGGTGTGTGCGTGTATATTGCCGTCTCTAATGGTACACAAAGCTGGGTCAGCATCCGCACTTACACCCGTCCAATGCACCAATACCACTGCACGATACAAGTGAATTCTACAACCCTGAACTTCACGTTCGTCTAGTAGTTGTGGATAGGAGAGACGAGAATCTCAAGCTTTTCATAAGTCATCCACTTGTATGCTACAGATGATTTCTCATAGATCCGAATTTGATAAGGCGATTTTAGCAGAGATGAACAGCAGTCACAAAATTCTATGAAATTGTAATACCATCATGAGTAGTATTTCGAACGAAAATCTACTGTTATGTATTCATTCCGAGTCTCTCATTAGTTTGACTATCAAAATCAATCACTTGATCGTTGTAATTATTTCTATTTCTTTTCAAAAGAATCTAAATCAGAATAAGAAACACTAGCTATCCCTTTATTTACAGAGCAAAAAAGAAATGTTGTTCATAGAGATAATCCGATTTTGTTGTCGGCAATTTCATGCGTTGTTGATCGTCTTCGGGTATGATATCTCCAGGATTGAAAATAACCGAATTCGAAAGAACTTCCCGAGTACGCTCTTTGCATTGCATACCGCTTGCAAGAATCAATGCATTCAATGAAATGCGCTTAATGTTACCTTTTACAAAGCCATGTTTTTCATAGAATGCACAGGCTTTGGTCATATTCAATAATGTAGTCAAATGCACTTGCCAATAGCCATGTTCTCGAGCAAAGCTAAATAAAGTTGCTAATAGACGAGATCCGACATTACATCTTTGAACATCAGCAGCCACACTCATTCGTCGCAACTCGCAGATGTAATCTCTTGCTTCCAACGATTCATGCTGATAGTAAATTGGATCTCCGAGACGCAGAGGTTGGACTGCTACCTGACCTACGATACGATTGTCATTCGTCGATACAGCAACCCACCAGTGGGCATTTGAAACTTGAAGATAATTCTTCTCAATATCGGCCATATCCGTTCCGAAGGCGTGATTGAAGTATTCCGGCCTATGTTCGTACTCCTTGTGACTGTCAATCATCATAGCTTTGCATGCAGATAAATCCGATGACTGGTAACTACGAATAAGAATTGATGTAGTCATCTAGAACGTAAATTTGTACTCCCTAAAATAAATATTCAGTTAGAAGTTAACTTCTCTCATTTCCAATATCTATTCATCTCTCTCGATTCTAAATGAAAGGTTGCCGTGAAAATCATCAAGTAGATTAAGAAAGTGAAATAAGCTTAAAAAAAAGGGACAATAATTAATTGATGCTCGTATAAAAGATTTATCGTGTTGTTATTGATGCAATCAACCACAGAAGCTAATCAATCAAATGAAGTGATCTCGACCATTCGAAACAAGTATAATGTTTTATGAACATGTGGGTTTTTTCTTTATATATTTGGGTCGAACAAAATGCAAAGGCATATGAGAATCAGAAGATATGAAAAATTAATGCATTTGATTTATCGCTGTTGGCTACGGTTTTTCTTCACTACATGTAATATAGACATATGAATGACTACAACAACAAACAAAGGCGAGAATAAACTTATGCGATTATTTTGGATTTGCTTTTGATTGTCCAATGTATGCTGAAGTTGATTGATTTCTTATTATGACACAAAATGCGGCAGATGGCAGTACTACTTAGATTTTCTATCACAATGTGCGCACAAAATTACAATTTTTTAGATGTAAATATTCTTTTCGTACTTTTCGTAGAGTGTGAATGTGGGTGAGCGAGTGGATCGGTAGTTTATCTAGCAAAATCTACGCTGCTGATAAAATCCTGAAGAGTGTTTCATATCGTCTGTCAGCCATGAATGTTTATTTAACTGCTTCTTTACCTTCAACACAGACACATATTGGAGTGAACAAAAGCAAGAATGATAGAGATAAGATAAGGACAAGAGAGGAAGGTCGGAGAGAGATGATATGAATATTTGCACACATGGAACAGTGATAGAACACTGTCAAGTACAATGAAAACAATAATCTTTGATCAGTATTCGTGTTACACAGAGAGTTTACGTCGTCTCAATACAATATTGCAAGGTTCTGATTTTGAAAGGATGGCTTGAATTCTCATTTTGAAGAGCATATAGCTCTTGAATTCATAGAAATCGTCTTGTTCTATTGACGTTGTTTATATTTGACATACGACTGATTTTCGATATTTTGTTCATTTGTTTTAGGTCAGCACTGGACGTAAAAGATGTATAGGACCTAGAAGGACTTCTGTAAGAACGTGACATATGTAAGAGCAATTTTCTTTCTAAAAGTTGTTCATGTCACTTATAAAGTAAGTAAAAGAAGAACACTGAGCTCTCCTTGAAGACGATGATTCTGTCGTTGCAAAATTTTTCTGAAATTGTGTCCGTACCTGCCTAGGAACGGATTTTTCTCAAGAAGATAGAGTTTTTAAAACATATATGGTTCGATGCAGTTTTGTTTGCTAATTTGACATATATCATTACATTTTTGAATAGGAACAAAACCTCAGTGAAAAAGGATTCAGAAAAATATTAAATTTTAGGTGTTAAGGTACGTATTTT